GTAAGTGTGAAACACTCTAAAAATGCATCATGACTCCATGAGTGATAAAAGCTTTGTTACCCAAATGAATACAAGAATTGGCTCAAGCTTCAGAACAATTATTGCTGCTTTTCTCTTTAAGGTCGTTCAGTATCGCAGAATTGCTGAATTCCTGTTATAAAGTTGGAGAAGAGAACAACAAGCATCCCAAAAATATGGGAAATGGTGGATCCAAGAGAGTGTTTCTTGAGGTGACCCCATATGTATACATACTGAGTGGTCAAATGGCTCGGAGCCTCAGCAACACAGCAGGCAATCAAGATCATTGTGAGAGTTTGCTTTGCAGAATCCTGACCGCAAGCTGCCTTTGGGGGAGTGAGTTTCTTTAAAGGACATTTTAAGGCTATGTCTATGATTGTCTATGAACATCCACGTGGCCAAAAGGAAGACCTGCAAAATCAAGTGCTGAGGAGATAGGAAATATTTAACCTGTCTCTTCCTCCAGTCTGGGAGCATGGCCGCTGTTCAAGGTTCAGCTAAAGAATCACTGGTGAGAGACTCCTCTTCATCCATCCAATCCAAAGCACGTCCTTCTTCCAACCCAGATGGGTTCCAACTTCCAACTCAGATGGGCAAAACGTGATGCACCTGATTTGAGGTTTGACACTGCGTATATTATTCCTGCATTACTCTGGAGCAGGGGGAGAGGGCGAGAGAGTGAGCAAGCATGCAACCATAGCGTGTCTTATCTCACAATATAAAGTATGACAGATGTGGTTCTGTAATACATTTTGCAATTCAGAATAACAGACGGTCAAGGGAAAGGTTTTGAGATGAGGTAGTAATAAAATCATTTCGCATTCCTAAATCAATGCGTGTACTGGTTTGAAATAACATTTTTTAGAGTGATCTTCACTCCAACAGCACAGTGTGCCATTACTCGAGTAACTCAACATGCGAGATCACAGCTGGCTCAGGCACTGAGCCCTAAGCCACGATGATGCCAACATCTCTGGAAAACAACGTCATCTTTAGTCCAGCTAAAACACAGAGAGCTCGGATACTTCTAAAACTGAAATCTCACTGTTGGCCAGCAAGACACAAAAATCCTTTTCCAACACTCTTGGCCATTGCTGACCTACAGCAGCCTGGGAGACAGCTACAGAACTGCTGATTTATGCTCCTGTGAACAATCACTGCAGACTTTGACTTGCTCGTGAGTTCAGGATGTGTGCTATGTAATGAAGAACTTGTTTGCAGTGAAATACCTACGTGGCAGAAAAGCATAGAGGTGCATACAAAATCTTGCCCAATTGCTGCCAGTCCATGCACTGCACTTTGGGAATTACAGTTTCAGACCCCAAATAACAAGGCAGCCCTACCTTACAGCCTGCCCTACTGGAAGGATGCAAAGCTTTCAGACTAGCTGCTTTCAGGGGCTGGCTCACCCAAATGGGAGCTGCTCCTCCGCATCCTGGGGCATCAGCATGGACGTTCAGAAGTGGAACACCCAGCCATGCTCAGTCCCAGGGCAGCAGGAAACGCAGCTGTGCAAGAGACGAGGACCCAGCAGTTAGGCAGAAATTCATTTCCCATTCACAGAAGTTGCAGCTTTGATCACCACCACCGTGACACTTATGAGGATGAAGCCTGGAGCATTTGCTGGAGCATTACCAGCTGTTGATGACAGCACCATTTCAGTTTGGACTTACCCAGCCCACATTCAGTAACAAACCCCAAGCCCTAACGACAACATTGAGTTTGAAGTCCCCAGTGCACATCCACCTACAGGCATTCAAGTGAAGCATAAAATCAGCATAAAAAGGCATAAATTGGAAACAGGTCGGTCTTCATCCACGGTGGGGTTTTGTTTTAGCACAGCCTTGTTATATTTTCCATCAATTCCGAGAAAACACGGGCAGAGTGCACACAGGCATGTCAAGAGAAGGAAAAATGACAAAGGAAGAAGCCCATCTCCGAGAAATCACTGATTAAAATTGCTCCCAAGTTCCCATTCCCTCCACAGCTTGCAAAAGTCCAAGTTGGGTGGATAAAGTATCAGCCACGTGCCTGACTTACAGCACTGGGACTGAGGTTTGGGCAGCACTTCAAGACTTTCCCCTAGGAGCCTATCCAAACCTCTTTGCTTCTGATGTGGAATAATTTGGAAGTGTTTTTAGGCTGCTGTCTGGGATAACACAAGGGCTATTGTAAACACACATGCAGCCAGTCAGCGTCAAGCCCACACAAATCTGGTACACACATAAATAACCAGTGAGTATTGTAAAAAAATTAATGGAATTTAAAAAGAAGAAATGACTAATTTGCTGAGTAGGTCTTAAGAAGGGCAGAGTTTGTTGCTTTTTTTTTTTTTTTTTAATGCAAAGGGTTTATGTATCAACTAATTTTAGTAAGTGGATTGTACTTAAATGCAGGGCACTGATTTTGTAGGTGGCTATAGCCAGACCTTTTCACCATTCAGCCATGCTAGGAGATAGAGAGGCCCTTTCTAGGATTCCCAAGTAGATCTTCTGTCTCTGGTATGTCTCATGGCATTACTTCCATATCCTTCATTATTTCTTCAGAATTCCTCAGTTACTTCTGGGAGTTAAAGCAAACAGCAGCCAACCAGTCTGCCACATTTATAGATGCTGAGGTTTTACATCTTGCCCCCTTTTGAGCAGAAACCCATCGTATGTTGGCAGGGAGGGTGAGCCTCAGTAGGAAGAAGATGGGAAATAATACAGGAGAAAGATTGCTCTGCAGTAATAAATGCAACTTGATAATAATGGAGTTGCACACAGCCACACTGTGACTGCCCCAAAAACAAACAGCCGAAGATCAACCAGAAATACATAGGTGGAGAGAAGGACTTGTGGACAAACATAGGAAAAGCACACAGGAAAAGCACCATTAAGGCAATAATCTCCTCAGGACCTGTTATTCACTTTGGGCTTCTAGCAGAACCACTAAGAAGACCGTTTCCAGACTTCAGTGACTTATTTTCATGTGGGAAACTTTAGAATCACAAGGCCTGCAAAGTCATTGTCACCATCTGCAGGAAGATAAGGAATTCTGATTGGACTCAAGGTTCAAGACAGTTGGGTATTGTACAAGCATCCTTCTCCAAGCCAAGGTATAGAACTGGTGGGGAGTGCCCAGGATTAATATCTATTGAAGGGCTGATTATTAAAATAGTCTACGAATATTCTCAAGGCTGGAATAAATTAAAATACGTGCTTCTCTGAGATGCCTGCGATGCTCTGTAATTTTACAGCTTCCAAAAGCTAAGAAAGGCAAGGAGCTGCCAAGATTTCATCACTATTCATGTGTCAAGGCCAAAGAGCTGCAAAAAGGTCAGTCTTGCAGGTTATGAATATCTGTAGCAGTTATAATCAAAATACATGCAATTCCTAAAGCTCTTCTTATGGGTAAGCAGCAGGCAAGAGTTAGAGTCATCATGTAATACACAATTTATGGCACCTACTGGTACCAACACGATACCATGTGAGCACATGAACGTGCCTGGTGCTACAGAAGTGTTGCAGCATACAAATAAGGCCCTGCTGCTCACATAGGTCATTTAATATCCATTTCTAACTTCTGTCAGAGCTGCCTCACCTAGACAGGGAACAGCAGAGATGCCTGCCATTCCCAGCAGCCATCCAGCTACTCAAAGACAGCTGAGAAATCAGAGACAGGAGACAGAAATGGATGTGGTTTCAGTCCATTTTCTTATAATGATCTTGCTATTTGATTTCAGCTCCATCCTCCTCTACTTCCATGTTTCTGATGGTGGGCGCACTGATGTGACCTCAGGCACATTGCTTAGCAGAGTACTCACCTGCTTTGCTCTAACCATAAGTTAAAGCCAGGTGTCCACAGACAGCAGTCAGCTCTAGCTGTCACCCACCAGCAGCCCTCTTTTCTCACCTTGCAGTAAGGCAGCTTGGGTGTCTCCATAAGAAGAGATGCCAAGTTTTCATGTGGCCAAAGAAAGTTAGACTTGTATTTTTTGTTGTTTTGCTTTCTTTTCTTTTCTGGCATGATTTTGCATCAGCCCTCCAGTATTATAGCATATTTTCAGCAGGAAATTTCAGCCCGTACCAATCACTGCATATCCAAGTTGGGAAATTCCCTGTCAGCTCCAATTAATATCATGATTCCATTAGGAAGGGGTGTGGCGAACAGACTTCAGTTTAGACAAAAGCAGATGTGCCTCAACAATATACACTGCTAGGGCAGATCCTATTCTCTGAAATACACAGAAAATTCCCCCTGTCAATTCCAGCTTAACTCACAGAGCTTTGGATGCCAGGACATCAGGCCATCTGTGGATTGCAAGTCCTCACCCCACAGCCAGTTCTTTGCACAGCACAAAATGGAAGAAATTCTACAAGTAGGAATTCATTTAAGTCTGAGCTTGAAGAGTTTGGGAAAAAAAAAAAAGTCTGCCCAGGGGAAAAGCATCTGGCTTGTTAGCAGGACGGAAAGCACGGTACAAATTCTTCCAACTGCCATCACATATTTTTCAGTGCAAGTCAGTGCAAAGTGAAGTAAGTTTCCCAGGAAGCAAGAGGCCAGAGACCCAGTCAAAAGCATTTTAACAAGGTATCATCAGAAATCCGTGTTCTCAACACACCAGAGGCACATTCCTTCTCCCTGGCACGTAGAAAAGAGTAAATTGGATAAAGCCAGCTTGACTTGTATATAGGCCAGGATTTCAAGTGCTGGATCAACAATAATTAAGAGTTACATGATAAACATCACCATTTTGAGCAGATCAGAACAGAGTATTCAGCAACATCTACATGAAGGCACTTGACTGTTCAGCCAGCCATTTTTCTCATGTTGTGATGGTAGTACAAGCTGTTCCCAAAGCTGGCATATCTCCATGATCATTAACAGCTAAAAATCCAAGCATTTCTGGGCTCATCATCAGAATATCTGAGAGTTTTCAAAAAAAAAAAAAAAAAAATCAGAAGTATTTAATACTTTGGTTTGCTTTGGTTGTTGTGAGCCCAAGCTGGAAATCTGTGCATTGAACTTGGACAGTCCTTGTAGGGAGAATGGGATGGGTTAGACTCTCCCAAGGGAATGTCCAAGCCAAGAAGCAGCACCTTTCTAAAGCCCAGGGAGAGGGAAGGTTCCCAGGTACTAGGATGATGAGCAGGGAGTACTGCAACCAATGCTCATATCATAGGTTTCAACACAAGATCTTACAGGGGGAAAGTAAGGGTATGGTATCCTGCAGCTCCATGGCCAAAGGGTAGAACCACAGCTGGCCTTTACAAAAAAATCTCAACCCATGAGTTTATACAGGGAAAGCCGATGAGTTGAACAGGCACATGAACACAATTGATTTCTCCATCTTGGTCAGCCTCAGTCTTTAAACAAACTCCAGAGACAGAACTGTAAGCCACCCTAAAGACTCTGGGATCAAGCAGGTTGAAAAGAGGTACTCACAGCATCAGAAGGGAGTTGAGCAAGGAGGCCTGGGTGGTTTCCATTCTGGGACTTTAGACCTTCATTTCCATCTCAGCCACATCTCCAGCACTCAGCTCCTTTGATGCAACACTTTTCAGCCTCTGGCCTGCAGACCCTGGTGAGCTACGAATTACAGACAGGTCTCTGAAATGTGGGGAAAAAGAAGAGGAAACAAAAAACTCTTTTCAGAGGGTTTAAATTCACTGTATGGGAGTCAGCAAGAAAATGCCTACTGCTACGAGTAACAGAGCCACACGTAACACTTGCCTCCATTCCCGTTTTCCTCCTGGAGCTCACGCACATCTGGCAAAAGCAAAAAGCAAGGAACATACTGCACTAAATAAGATGCCTTTGACCTGAGTCACTGAGTGGGACGCAGAGGAAAAACATTCGTTTGGAGACAAGGTTACGCCAAAGAATTTTGCAATGAACAAAACAAAGCAAAAACAAAACTCACGCCCATCGTGAAGCTGCCTGCCTCAAAGCAACCCCACAAATCAGAACTGCACATGACAGCTCCGTTATCTCTCAGCATCCCCATAACCTGCAGAGCCAAGACTCACAAGCACACTGGGATCCCCTGGAAGAAAATTCAGGGCTCAGTGGTGAGAATAAATCACGTCTTAATGCACTTAAATGTCTCCAGCAAAGTGGTTGATGGCATTACAGTACATCTCACACCCATTACCTGTGGGATATGCAAGTATCAGAGGCTTGGAAATGTAATCAGGGTGCATCCCTAATTGCTGCAACCAGATTCAAAAGGTAACAATCAGCCCAGACTGGAAGGTGAGAATTAGACTTGTGTTCATTGCAGAATGGCATTTCTACCCACTGCTTTCTAGGCTGTCACTCCATATTGAGCTCAGTGATACGGTTACGGTAACAACTAAGCACTACAGGCTAGTTTCTGAGGACAAAAACTGTGAGAGAGGAAAAATACAGCCATTGCACCTCAATCACGGCGCAGAGACACTCCACAAAGAGGAGAGTTCATCAAGCCAAAACAGTAGAAAAGCAAAGATCATACAAGGGGTGAAGTGGAGCACGTTAGCAACTGAGTGGAGGCAACAGGCATCGCCTTTTTCCTCTCATAAGCATGATGCTTGCTCAGAGGCAAGCAGAGGGAAGACAAAGGGAATAAAGGAGAGAAAGGTCTGATAAAGGTAAACTCATTCCAACGTTTTGAAAGGTATTTTTATTTCAGATTGAAGCAGCTTCTGAGTTTGCTTCAGTTTTTATTGGGGAAAAAAAATAATAAGTGGGATAGTGTCAAAAAAAGTTCAGGGCAAATGAAAGTTAATGGATCAAAAGCATTTTCATCTTTCCTCCCAAGAGTTCCCCACTAGCCTTCAGTAGGGTCAGCTGAAATTGCTTTTTGATTATTTTTTTTAGTGAGTCCAGCCAATCAACAAACGCTTCAACCATCTTCCTCAACTTTTCTTTAACCCACATTTCTCCTTTTGTGAAGCTATCTTCAGGCAGCTATCTTTACTAACTGCTATATTACCGTGAGCAGCAGCTCAGCAGACTTTAAATCTTCAGTATTAAGGTTTGCCAGACCCTGTCTGCTTTTGTCAGATGTTAATCTCATCCCTTTGAATCTGGCAGAACAAGCCCTGCTGCCCACAGGTTTACACAGGGATGCTTCACGTTGTCCTTCAACAGGGAACTCCAGCTCACCGGAGTGTATAATCAATTCCATGTGAAGGTCTGGGGAAGGTCTGTTATCTGACAGAGCTCTCCATTGCAGGAGTTTTTGCTTTTAATTTATGCAAACAATGAAGTGCTAATTGTTCTCGTGATATTTGGTGCTTTTTCCAAAGCTGCAGCTCAGAGAGGCTAACATGAGCATCCAAGCAGTTGTGCATGCTGCTAAGCCTCATGTTTGGGAAAGGACATCTCAGTGATTCCCAAAGCAGAAACGGGTTAAACAGACTTCTATGAAGAATCACACAGGTATCTCTGAGCTTATGTTGGAATGAGAGGAATCTGCTGGGTGGGGGCTGTGGTGCCTGTCCCAGGGCTATTTACTCCAATTCTTTTAAAGGCTAAAACCACGCTGCTTTCAGCCCAAGTTTTGTTTCATGTGGCTTTTCATGTCCCGAGACACAGAGCGAACAACATCTATCATTCACACAAAGGAGTTAATTGCCTTTCTTCCCCACTCATTTTTGTCTTCTGCCTCCAGACAAGGGTATTCTTCCCCCATGCTAATTATTAATAGATGGAGGAAAGTTCACCTTGAGGTTGAGAGTCTTATAGAAAAATTAATTACAGAGCCCAACTTTACAATTACCGGTTAAGACACACATTATCAGCCACACAACCCCTCAGGCTTTACCTGGCTTGAAAAAAAGTTTGCAGTGTGATGTGAGATTTACTTCGAAGCTGAACTCCAGAGGAAGCATCAGAGCATAGGCAGGGCCACCAACAGCCTCCATAATGATGAACCACGGCTGGGAGGCATCAACAGGTCAGAAGAAGAAGAAAGGAACAATAATAGGTCAGATACACCATCATGTACTTGCCAAAATTTAAAAGAATGGAAGCTTAAGATATTAAGAAAGTAATGAGGCCACTGCACCAACAATGTGACATTCAGCATCCGCTGAGGGTGCTCAGTAGCAGTAAATCTATTAAACAGGCTGAGAAGTAATGAGTGGAAGACGATGCTCAATCAACATGGTGAGAAAGCTCTCATTACACAAAACTTGTAAAAATCTTGATGTGCAAACTGTGTGCAGGTTCTCCCATCAGCCTTTGGAGTCAGCAGCATGAAGCAGCTTAAGAAGATCAAGACCACTTGCATATTTAGACCTGCAAACACTTACATACACACTCTGGTATTTGCTGAATTGGTGCCTCATGCTCTCCATTCCATAAATCCTCTTCCATTTCAGGCTCATGTGATGGAAAATGCTCTGCGAGCACACAAATTACTGGCTAAAGTCAGAGGGAAAAGTATGACAGAAAGTCACAGTCTGGAGAATACGAAAGACTCCTCATTTATAAAACAAAACATTTAACAACCAGCAGAAGTCACATTGGTATTATGCAGCCAGGACTGCATACACTGCTATGTGTGGACTTCATCCCTACTCTGGGAGTTCCACTGAGACAACTTCAAGGGTGGTACACTCAAATAATGAATTGGATTCCTCTGAAGGAGGTGATGTTCAGGCACCCCTTACCTGTGCACATGCATTTTGGGGCTGTGCTTCCACTCCCAGCTTGACTTTCTGCACATCCCTCAGCCACTACACTCTCAATACACCTGAAACAGAGGGACATCGTTGTTTTTTAAGTTCACACAGCACATGACACAGCTGGAGTCTGTTCCTTACAGGCAACCTTGGGGATACATTTAACTCAGAAAGGAATTTAAAGTCAACGTCTTGCCTGAAAGGCTGATACATGAAAGGACAAACAGCACTGCTCATAACCTGGTAGTAATAATTCTACCACACGTCCGAGGTGCTCAGAGCACTTAGGAACACACCTCTCAGTTTTAGGAGGAGCCATACATTGAGCAGAAGCCAAACCACAGTATTTCTCAACACACCCAAGGCTTCGCTAGCCAGTCTGCTAATCAAGTTGGAAAAATTAGCAGAAAATAATCAAGTGTCATATCAGCAACCTATGCAAACAGCAATTCCCCATGATATCTAGTCCTGAGCCATTTTTACAGTTCTTATTAAAGGCACTTTTTTGCTGTGAATATATTCTTTAAAACTATCTTTAAAGCAAACCTATGAGATATGTGAGGAGAAGGGGAAAAAAAAGAAACAGTGACTGCCACAGGGAAACAAAGCAAGAAAAGAAGAGGAAGCAGGGAGTTGTGCATCACCATTGGTGGGCACTTGAATAGGAGCCCTGTGCTTGACACCACTGACTTGGAACAAAACTGAAGTCAAACAGCTATTTGTCAAGGGATACAAATGCACACAAGTGGTGAGAACCTGGCCCTTCTGTAAAAATGTGTCAGGGACTTTTCTGTAGGACTGCGCCGAGCTCCGTGATGGATTGTTGTACTCTGAGGACAGCATTGTGAGCAATAATAATAAGGCATCTGGTCAATGCTCTTTCTGAAAGAATATTTTGGCTCGACAGGAATCACGTGAGTGGTTCCATGTACAATGCACAGCCTCACTGCCACGGATCAGCAGTGCTGGCTCCATCCATCCATCTGCTCTCAGCTCCATCAGGCCAGCTCCAGGACATGCAGCATCACCTTCATATCCTCTGGACACCTATGACAGTAATAATACCACATCAGCCCCTGCAGCCTCGATGCCCCACTGAAACCCCCCTTGTTGGTCTTAAGCATTCTTCTTGCATTGCCACACAACTGTGTGCAGGAAGAGGAGGCAGGCACCACTGCTACTCACAGGCCAAAACAACCCCTTTGGTTAACTCAGAGCTGCTTTGCTAGGCAAGGCAAGGAACTGCTTTGACATGGGACCATAGTGCACAACATCTCCTCAACCGAAGTGTCATTCAGCAGGGGAGGAGGGAAGGATGAGCTTCATGAAGATTTTAGCAAGCTGCCAGGGCAAATCTGCCCCTTGACTGCAGGTAAACTACCACTAACTCCTTGGAAGACATCCCATACCTACTCATTGACAGTGAGAACAGAAACAAAGAGAGGAAGACATGGGACAAGCACACAGTGCTGGATTGAGCAACTTAAGATTTCCTTAATCCATGCCCCTGAAACCAGATGGCAAGCCAAAGTTTTCTCTGACAAGCAACAGAATCAGAACTGACACGACTGGAAAAAACAAGCTCAATTCCTGTTGGCAGGATATTAATTTAGAAATCTCTGGTGTCACTGCCCCGATTCACAACGAATTTGAAACCAAACTTTCCTAGTGCCAGATGACACAGAGATTTGACAGAGAAGGTAATTGGAGGAAATGGCTGTGTAATCTAGCTATTGTACTGGCAAAATCCAGCTCTCCTAAAGAATAAGGTTCACTTTGTGGCATGGCTGATTCATTGTCCTTTATTTGTCCCCAGTGCCTCATGACTTTCCTCTGCTTGGCAGGGATGGTGGCACAGCTCCTTCTAAGCAGTGTCAAAGGGTGGGCAAACCTGACCTTGAGCAGAGTTCTGGCCAAAGCTATCAGCCCTTGTAATCACATCCTTAGTGACATAGTGCACACACCCCTGAAAGAGGAGAGCTCCTACCAAGGGAGACCCTCACCAGCCAGATGCCTAGATCCTAATCATTGGGTCATCCATTAGGTCCTAATTGTTGGGTTATCCATGAGTCCTAATTGTTGGGTCATCCATTCTTCTTCTTCTGGAAAAGAGAATAATGACACTGCACTGTGGGAAAAAGGAAAACAAATCACCCTGCACTGAGAGACAAAAGAGATTGCTGTGGCTCTGCAAGAAAAGAGGAAAAAAGAAAAGGGGGGGATCAGAGTGAAGAAATTCCAAAATGCATTCTGTCCAAAACTCAACAGCATTTGCCTAGAAATGTCCACAAACACATGTACTGAATCATAAGACTCAGCATTTTTCCACTGTTCTAATAATAACCATTTTACTGACCTGTGTATCCATAGTACTCCACTAATCACTTTGTTTTTCTAACTGTCACTATCTAGACTGGATGGTGAGCTGCTCTGGGTGAATGTCAAATCTACTCCAAGCTGCACCTTTGAGATCTGATAACTCAGCTGCTGGAGCACCATGAAAATCTATACCTCTTAGCTGTGCATATCGAATTGATGGCAAGTCTCCTTTGGGAGCCTTGCTAAAATGTGCTCTTGCCCTTCAGAAGGCTCCTCTCTATTTCAATAAACAATCTGGAGAATGGAGTGTAACAGCAGTCTAACCTACCCTCATACCTGAACGCATCTTTTTGCTCCGTTCACCAATTAAACGAGCACCATATGGATATAAAGCATATGAATGCCAGTGAATGCATATGAAGCCAGTGATTTTGTGGAGGAGGAGTGAAAGAGCTCAATTATTTTTTCCTCATCTGCTAGCAAAAAAATATTAGGATAGTAAACAGAGCTAGCAATCACATAGGAATGCCCGGGAGAGCCCTTGCCTGCTGGTATGCAGATCCCTCATCTGGAATTCATTTATTCCTGTTCTCTATTCATACTATTAAGCTACAGCGCTGGACAGGCAAAGAACATATTCAAAAGAGACCTGAAGTTATTGAAGAGACTGCCAATTCCAATGTCACCTCTGAAAACAAAGAACCTGAAGAAGCAGACTGGTATTTCAAAAGAAGAAATGCCATTTTCAACAGCATCACCTAACAATCCAGCGTTACATCACAGAGATGGCTCCCATCATTCCTGAAGGGAAGGATACTTCCACCTCCTGTCTGCAAATTCTGTTAGCAGAAATAGAAAGCATCTCTATTAGACCGCAAGTTAAAAAGGCCCAAATTTATCCTTAGGTTAAACCAAGATGAGCTAGCAACATGCTGTCTGGTTGTGCAGCTCCTAGTGGAGGCAAGAGTTGGATTCAATGGGTCCTTTCCAACTTGGGGCATTCTGTGATCCTACTGGTCTGTCAGACCTTGCAGCTTCAGTGTGCTGCATCCTGGGGGTCTCTAAATTGGATGAAAGAATGCATAGGAAAATGGTGTATTTGCCTGCTGGGTCTTCCTCTGCATCCCATTTCACTTCTAATTCCCCAGAAAGCAGAGGATCATCTCCATCTTGTTTAATTACATTCAGTAATTTAAACTGCAGCAGAAAACCTGCTTTGGCTGTAATCATTTAGAGGTCTACAGAAATCCCTTAGCCTGGTGGAAAACGTAGATGTGTAATTAGTATATTCCCCTTAATTGCAGCCTCATTTCTCTTTGCAACGACGCCTGTGCAGGTATGCACAGCAGTCCACTTGGCTTACCCTGCATGTGGTTCCTGGGGGGGTCTGAAAGGCAGAAGTTCTCGGGGGTGTGAGCAGAAGGTGCAGCAGGAAATCAGATGCCCCTGGGATCCCTGCACCTCTCTCCAGCACAGCTTCCTACAGACAGCTCCAGGGCTCAGCTTACACCCAGCAGTGCTCCAGGAGGGGACCACACGTACTAGGGATGGAGAAAAAAAGCACATGTAAAGATCCTGGAAGTCTCAGGGCAAGTAAATTACTGTTAATTGTGAGATATTTGATTGCAAGAAGCACCAGATGGCCAACCATATGTTTTTGATTGTAAAATTAAACAAGATTAACCCAAACAGGATTTCCTCAGCATTCTTCTCTGACTGGCTCACAAATACATCTTTAACACCTATGCTACAAATATGGCACAGCCAGAAGCTCTTCCTGCCTCTCCCTAATCTACTTGGTCTAAATACTCAGCCAAGCAATGCCCTGCACTTAAAGATTTCCAAGAAGCAAGATACGCTTTTTGCAGGCTTTGGCCATTCTCTACTTCAAGATAGAAGAATTCTGAGACAAAGCCCTGCAGAAATCAGCTCAATGAGTTGCCGGTCCAGCAAGTTTTTATGTCTCAGCTACCAAACCTGTAGAGTCAGCTGCCTCTCGCGCTCTCCCTGGAAGATGGACTTTAGCCAAAAAGGCCTTTCCAAGCCCACCCAGCTACCATACGCACACACGCGTTATCCTATGGGATCTCACAGCTGAGCCCCTGTCTCTTTGCAAGCTTTTCTCATGCAGATTATGCACTTCGTCGTTTGTTTGGAGCAAATCAGTTGTGAACTGAACATAAAGGGTGTTCCAGGGGAGATCTCCCATTGCGCCATTCCCCAGCACAAATCCCCAGGACACCGTGCGTCCAGAAGCTATCAATAACACTCTACTCACACCCTCCTATCTTATCATATGCAGGCAGACAACATGTTTGGAGAGTTTAATTGCCCATCAGCCAACAGACAACGGGCCAGGGCTCTAGATCATGTAAACATGATTTTTTTTTTTCTTTTAACTTTGACTATCTTCACTTTCAGGGTTTCTCTGGAGGGCAAAATGCATTTCTTTGTCTTTCTTTTGGCAGAAGAGCCAGCCCACTGCACTCCAGGCAGTCTTTTTCCCCTTACTGCTGCTGCTACTGAAGATGGAAGAGCTGGGGCAACGCTGGAGAGGATGACAGCAGATCTGTAGGAGACAAGAACAGAGCCATAGAGAATAGGGATTTGTCCCAGCTGTAAAATGTGGTGGGCGATTCCAGCTTTCCACTTGCAAGGTGATGTGGCTGAATCCTCAGAGGATCTGGAGGACACATCCCATGGCTGTTGCTCCCTTGGCATCTCCTCTGGACACAGAAGGGAGTGCAGCTGGGCTGTGCCTGGCCACCCACCTGCATCCTGGAGACAAGTGCAAAGCAGGGCTGCGCACATCAAGTGCGTATAAAACTTTAATTCAGCCCTGCTTACTGCTGGGCAAGCTCATGGTTTACATCTGGACTCAATCCTGGTCACATACAGCAGATCATGTGCCCAGAAATGCAGTTTGACTCCCACCTCAGCCATCTCTGTCCTTGCACTTGACTGTTTCGTGATCATTTCACACACACACACATTGCAGGATCCCTGCAGTTTGGGATGGAGTCTCTAATAAACAACACTGTTAACCCTCCTGCACGATGCCAAGCAAAATGAACCCAAAAAACAGTTGCTGGCAGAGCAAACTTCCCCACTTGCAAACGCAGAACAGTCTGGCTTAGCAGCGAGGTGTTAACAAAGGGGCACCAAGACAGGATGTCCACCCCTACCAGACTGCAAATTATAGAATCACAGAATGGGTTGGGTTGGAAGAAACTTTAAAAATCATCTAGTTCCAAACCCCAGACCCAGGCTGGACCCTGGCAGCCCATCCTCTGCTGTACTTTGATGCTTTCCATCCCACTGCAAGCTACCAAAAGAATATCCAGTTCCTCCAAGGACAAGCCATCCATCTGTCTCAGACCAAAGCCCTTGGAGCTGCATAAAGGACAGTTCTGCTCTGTAATCCTGGGTACGAGGGAGATCTTGGTAAAGTAAAACATGATCTATGGACAAGTGCAGTCAGCTGACAAGCTCTAGCAGGTCTTCTCCAAGCACTTGCAAACGCCAGATTGTTTTGGTCAGATTTGGAGAGACACACAGAAACTACAGCACCAATGCACAGACCCTCACCTCCTATCCCCCACCACCACCGCCACCAAATTTCAAAGCAACTGCTCCAAAGTACACTGCATTTTTTCCCCACACCTTTTCCACAGGAGAGAGCCAGGCTTGATTTAAGGCAGACAAATTTATCTGATTTTCCACTGTCTTATTCTTTGAGAAACTCCTGGGTCACTCCAAGCTGATATTTCCCCTGAAAGCTGACTCCAAGGCAGACACCTCAGGTGGAAAACTGCAGTCCCAAAAGGCAAAGCCTGACAAAGATATATGCGATTGGAAAGAGTATCCTGCCATAAGAAAGGAGCAGGGAATTACTATATAGGCACTGGTATATGACATAGTTATAAAGCAGAGCTGAAAAAGCCAGTTTTTAAATGAAGAGAACATATGCTTTGAGAAAAGCTCCATGAAAAATGTTTCTTTTGCCAAAAGAGTAAAAGGAAACCCACTTTAGTTGAAAATCCAGCTTTTAAAGGCAGTCCCAAGTTAATGAGGTATAAAACTGAATTCAGAGCTCTTCTACTACTTTCTTGTCTTTCCAGCAGAGCATCCAGTGCTTTCCCTGACAACCATTCCTCCACAGCCAGCTGGGGAGATGCTCCGGGAGGTGGAAGCACAAATAAAAATAAAAAATATATTAAAAAAAAAAAAAGAAAAAAACAGTAGAAAATTTACAAGCTTTTTAAACATGATTTATCCATGTTGGGTACTTCTCTATCTAACCAGATGCTTCCAAATGTCTGGCACTAGAGAAAAAGCTGTAATTTTACCCCTGTGATATACAACTTACCCATATTAGACTTGCAGAGAAACAATCCCAGCTGTTGCAGCCAGGGATGGGGATGGGAAGGGGGCTGTATTTGACCCCAGTTCCCATGAGCTGCCTGGGAAAGGCACCTCCAGGGATGCTCTGTACCAGGAGAAGAGGCAGCCGTGCCTTTGTAGGCAGCTGGCTGATGGAGGATGGATGGGCAGAGCCCACCTGAGCGTGGATCACCTACACACAAGGGGCCTGCAGAGAGAGGCAGGTTACTGTTGAGCTCAACCAGATCACAGGTTACTGCCAAACCCAGGCAGCATCTCAGTGTTGGACAGCACGGCGCATGTCTTTTATCAGCTAGTTCTATGCAATGCACAGATAAAGATGGGAAAACCAGTGCTGATACAAACTGGGAAAAAAAGAAAAACAGACAGGCTTTTAGCCTGAAGAATGGCTTGTCTGTTTTGTCTGAAATCTACAGGCTAATCTAACAAGAGAGATTGCTTCCTACAACCCTCGCCTCACTTCTGGGAGCACTTCAAGCAGCAAGAGCATCAGTGCATGGGGAGAGAACACACATAGCTCTTGTTCCATCAGCACTGCGGCCTGAAAACGGCTCTTACAGAGCATAATCACTTGTGCATGTTGGTGAAAGGACTGGAGAAATGACCCCTGGCAGGAAGCTAAGTCTGAACAAACAGTGGGGACCAGGAGTTTGGTCCTCTGGGAAAGCAACCACTGCTATAGGTTGTAAGGTCTGTCCTCATCCAGCCTCCTTTTCCTGAGAACAGGGGTAGGTTCTTCCACGCTGCTTTCCCCTTTGGTTAAGGGTCAGATGCAGCAGTGCTGGGCTGAGACCTCTGTCTGATCCAGCTCAAGGGCAGCGACCCATTGGCACAAACCAGACAGAAGAGCAAGTCTGGGAAACGCCAACTGAACAACAAGTGGGAAAAGCCAGAGAGCAGCCATGCTCTGAAGAGGAAAGCAGAAAGCTGTTGGGATTTTAGGCTGCTGGTCCAGGCGGGGCTGTGCCTGCAGCACCACTGATAGGACCTGGGTCCTCCCCAGCCAGTGCAAAGCAGAGATAAGGCCCTGGGACTCAGTGTGGAGCAAGGTAAG